TCGACATTGTTTCAAGTAAACGTTGAATTCATAAGATTTCTAAAATTCGAACGCGATGGAAGCCGTAGACAGGTCGTCGAGTTGCCTACACGCAGATCACCAACTGTGTTCCCTGTTGTCTGGCGGTTACTCCTTACCTCCATTTTAAGTGGAGTCCCAGGGGGCTTGGTCGTTGACTGGTTACTGATCCCGGCATATCTCAAGTACTCTACTTATAACCTAGATTATGGCGCCATCATGCGTGCTGGCAATGTCAACTCCGGGTATCTGTCAAGCCTGACGCCCTATAGCGTCTCGCATTAGCTGTGGTCACAATGCTCCCGTAGGATCTGATTGGTCCATGTCTGCGTGAAATGGTTCGGCCCTTCTAGAGCTTTCCCTTGAAGCAGATTGGGCCGAATATTGGCCCACATGAACGAAATTATATAGATACATGCAGCTTTTTTAGTGGGAATGACTTACACTTTTTTAAATCCATTTTCGCCCCAGCCGATCGTATTTACTTTCTGTGCCGTGCTTGCAGTTGGGACGACGGTCAAGTACGCAGATGGCTAGTGTGATTTGTGAATATCAGGCTGGGTCATAACAAAGTCCTAAGTAGCCGCCGTGTAATGCCTGAATTTTCCTGCTTATGTTGCTTAAGTTTTCTCGCGTACACCGGCACACTGTCGTTGCGCTACATATTAAGGCAAGCACGCCCCACGAGAGTCTGAACCGACTTAGCGGCTGGGCTGATTATTGGTTCGCTAAATCTTAACGTTAGTAAATGTGTGGTCCTAAGGATCCGTACTAGAGGATCTAAGCGAAAAGATGATTCCTCCCAATGTGTTTGCGAAGGATGGTGCTTTTCAAAAGTTGGTGAAGAGGAGGCTCTTGATATTGTATTGACATTGTCGTTATCACACCGTGTAAGCGTAGTTAAACAGAGACACGCCTGCTTTTCGCGCTCCGACGAGCATCTGTACAAGTAGTCATCTTAAATCGCAGAGGAAGTTCGAACATACGGTCATCCAACGGACCGCCTTTCCACACACCATCCTTTGGGCATGAAGTGGACTCCCTCCATGGGTTAATCTGTGGATACTGTTGAGATATTTAAGTGAGAAAATTGTGATCGCGTCTGACCTAGTCGGTGTCCATGATGTCGCGGACTTTACCTCTCCACCTGTGATGATCTGCGGCAGTGGATCTGCCATGCTCGATCCAGTCTCTTTTCCAGTGACTAAGCTCGAACACGGAAAGTTCAAGAACCACTTTAGTATCTTAAGGGATTTCTTCTAAATCTAGCATAGAAATGATCTCCTCTTCAACGGCTCCAGCTAAGCATTGGCACCAGATCGAGGCAGTAACATCAAGTTCATGAGGCACGCCCAAACCGCTTAAGTAGTTTTTTCTGAAGTGGCCTGAGCTATAAAACGAAATCATTTGCATGCTTATGTTTCTCCGTGCCACCTTCTTATCGCCGTTTTACAGGTTGTCCCCTTCCATGGTTCTGTCATGCAACGCGTCCTCCTCTCTCTGGATCTACACTTCTCGCCTACGCAACTATTGCCGACCAATCGCAAAGCAGCGACCGCCAGCTCTAGCATTCGCATGCGCCTGTGGACCTCACACCTGGAGAGCTGTGCCAACTTTGCAGAAGAACGCATGTGTCAGCTGAGGCAGTCTTGGAAGGAAATGATAGACAGCCTCTTCGCCGGGAATCCGGCCTCCCTGGAGCCATTTTATGGGATATTTTGTGGTGACCTTAATATCCGGGATAAAGAGGTTAGTTTTCCAGTCATTTTTATCGGGCTACATTTTATGGGATTATTGTCAATGTCTGTGGGCTGGAATATGTGTGAGAGGAAGGTTATACTCTTTCTGATGAAATGAGAGTCCGTCACACTTGTTCAGTCTTGGTTCGCCAACGCCTCGTCCTCACAGAACTGAGGCGTTGCAAGGTTGAAGGAGACTGGGAATGCCGGTTTCACTTCCAGGTTGTAGGGCGAAAATTAGATTTCAACAGCAAAACCCAATAGCCAGAGTTTCTCAAGTCAAAATTTTCCTGCTCTGTAAGGCTCTAATGCGGTGTGAAGTCTTGCGAAATTTAAACAAAAAACTTGATTCTATTAATCTGATAGAGGTGTCCTCAACGGTCACTTTACAAGACACTCATCCTATTGTCTTGGGGCTCACTCTTGAGCTCTCAAGCAGCTGTTAATTTTGTAGACGAAATAGCCTTTCCTCTAAAGGCAAGAGATACTAGAATGACCGTTTCTGATTTACTATCCGACATCAGCCAATCATTCCCAACCCCAGGTTTGCAACCCGTGAGGTTCGATGTCGCGAGCTAAAGCTGATGATGGCTAGTAGACCAAGTCAAAATTTACCTGCTCTGTAGAGCTCCAATGCGGTATGAAGTCTTGCGAAATTAAAAAAAGAACTGGATCCCACTAAACTGGTGTGTGTGTTCGACCATTTATTTCAATGAATATCACCAAGTGTACCGACAGGTTGTTGCAGAATGTGACGGCCTCAGGTGGTAGATTATAGTTATAGCTGACGTATTTAGCGCCAACTGCACTCCTCGCCTTCGCCCGGGGCCAAGAAGACCAAACGGGACCCGGCGTTGGCAGCTTTCCCCAATGCAAGCAAGAAACACCGCCTAACTTAGTCTTAAGTGACAGTAGACTTTG